CTGATACCCATGCCCCCTGCCTCACCCCGAACCCCTGCTTCTCCTGCATTTTTCTTATTTCAGTAAATGCCAACTTCATCCTTTACTGTTCGTCTTTTTTTTCACACCCTACAGCTGAACTGTCAACTAATCCTACTGACTATACCTTCAAGCTGTGTCCAGAATCCCACTAAGTCTCACATCCTCCGCTGCTACCCTGGTTGCACCATCTCTTGCCTGGGTTGCTGTCATCTCTTGCCTGGGTCACTGCGGTGGCCTCCTAACTGGTCTTCTCACTGCTGCTCTTACCTTTCTTTAGCTTTCTCTCAACACAGCAGCCAGAGTGATCCTGTTAGAATATAAATCACTCCTATCATTTCTCTGCTAAAAATCCTGCAGTGGCTGCCTCTCCCTCAGAGTACAAGCCAGTTACTTCCTGGTCCCACATTCTGGTCCTCATTACTCTTCTGATCTCATCTCCTTCCTTTCCTCGCACCCTTGCTCCAGCCCTGTCCCTGGGCGTGCTGAGCATATTCCCCGTGTAGACCCTTCTCATCCGCTGTTTTCTTGGCCTGGAATAGTCTTCTCTCAGTCATCTCCATGGCTACCTCCTTGCCTCTCTGGTCTTTTACAAAGGTCACTTTCTTAACGGGGCCTTCCCTGGCTTTTTATTTAAAACGTCAGCACCCACCCACCCGTTCCTGGCATTCCCCCACTCACCTTACTTTTCTCCATGGCACACATCTCCTTCTAACATTTCACTTATTTATTGTCTGTCTCTTGCCACTAGCTGTAAGCTGCATGAGAACAGGAGCTTTGCCTGTTTGTTCCCTGCTGACTTCCCGGTGTCTTGAGCCTTGCCTCCCTCCTGGTAGACGCTTAGCCCATGTCTGTAGAATGGGTGAGCTCTAATAGGGGTCGTCTCTTCCCTCTAACTGCTTCTTTCTGACTTCGTGTGGAGCTGTTGTCTTAATTTCTATGTGTGCTTGTCTGTGAAGCTAGTAGGGCGTAGTGAAAAAAAAGCAGTAGACAGCCCCATGCAAATCAAGCTTCCCACTTGGCTCTCTCATTCAAAAGCTGTGGAACTTGAGACAAGTCACTTTGCCTCTCAGAGTTTCCTTCCTTCCTGCCTGCCTTCCTTTCTTTCGCGTATGAAATGGCGAAAGCTACCCTGCCGTCACTCAGGGTTGCTGTGAAGGTTCGACAGAATAACGTATGAAGTGCCATGGAGAATAAGAGGCAGTTTTCACTGACCGCAGCCTCTGGCCTCGACTCAGTGCCAGAGCTTTACGTATGTGACTGTCTCGTTTAATTCTCACGTAGAATCAGTGAGACACGAGCTTGTACAACTGAACTCATGTCACAGATGAGAAGACTGAGGTGCACCAAGAAATTAAGTGAATTACCTGAGAGCTAGTCAATGGTAAAGCCAGGCTTTGAACCCAAAAGCATTTTTATTCCATGGCCTGAGTTTTCCTCATTGTGTTCTACTGGCACAAGATAAAGGTTTCAATGACCAAATATGGAGTGATTAAAATGATGTGAGCTGAGGTGCAACTTCTGTCTCCAGATGATTTGTTTTCTTGACTGCTAATTAATGTAGCGTTTCCCTTAATGTTATTTTTCCCCCCCTCTTCAACTCAAACAGCAGAAATTCCCATCTTCCAAAGAAAAAAAGATATTGTCAGGCATTTTTCTATCTTTCCCTTCCTCCCTCAAAGAATGAAATGCTGTCCTGTGTCCCCGGAGATTTCTGTCATACAGCCTAACCAAGTCCAGATGGTTTTCTCAAGTTCAGACATCATACTTAGTAAAGTGTGTGTAGTTATCTACAGAAACAAGTTCTGGACTAAATTGCAAACACCGGCTTCCCAGATAACTTATTCCATGCTCTTCTGCCTTGTTTGTGTTATGGCCTGTCTGTGCTAATGAATTTGTAAATGTGGTTTAATTACTGTTTACCGGAAAAATAGCTGCACACAGATCAGTCTCAGTGGGAGTCTTAGCCAAAATGTTGAGGCAATTTGTTTCTAGGGCAAAAACAGCTAATAAATGAGAAGCACTTTTTAAATGTTGGGAAGGGAGCTTCAGTTCGGTTTTGAAGAAACAGTTTTTTATATATCCTGGGAAATAAATCATTCCATAAGAGAGTGGATTTAAATATCAAAGTGGCATTTTTTTTCCCAAGGCCTTGCACTCGGTAATTTGCACGGAACCAAAGTATTCTAACAGTGATTTGATTGAATACCACACCAAAGGGCTATCCTCTAAAGAACTCACCAAAAGGAAAACTCAAAATTACTTGTAAATTCCAGCAAATGTTTCGGAGCTCTGTAAATCCATGTATTATGTATTACCTCATGTTTCTGAATTCTTGCCTCGGGCAAATTGCCAACTTAGCAACTAAATGACAGTTTTAAAATTCTGATAGAAACCAGCCTCTCCAACTTTTCTTTTTTTCCTCCAGGAGAAAAAAAAAACGGGACACGAGAGGGAAGTGAAAGTTATTGAAAGGTTCAATTTATAAATTGTCTGTGCTCTGCTTGGAGTTGTAGTTTAATTTTGCTCTTGCATAAAATGGTATTTGCCTGATTCTACATAAAGGGGCACCTTTGAAAGTAAATAAATTCTCACGGGCAACTGTTGGTCCTGCTAATAGGGAGGAAGCACTGTCACGCTACCCTTCGGGGGATGCCTGCCTCAGAGCCAGAGTGGGCCGGTTCTGCCTTCAGTGAGAACTCAGAAAACAAAAGCAATCAACTTGGCAACTAATAAAGATGTTTGTCATTTCCTGAACTGTGGATATAACAAAGAATTTGAGCAGTGTGAGATGCAAACCCTGCCCTCAAGAAGTTTATTTTTAGTGGGGGCAGCAGACAGGTACACAGGCAATTCAATCTAAGAGATCCCAAGGCGGGGGGAGGGGGAATTGAGTGAAGGTGGTCAGCAAGTACAAACTTCCAGTTACAGTGTAAGATACATAAGTTCTGGGGATGCAGTGTACAGCATGGTGACTATAGTTAACAATATTGTGTTGTATATTTAAAAGTTACTAAGAGAATAGATCTTAAAAGTTCTCATCAGAAGAAACAAATTCTGTAGCTATGTTAGGTGATGGATGTTAACTAGACTTATTCTGGTGATCATTTCCCAGTATATACATATATCAGGTCTTATGTCATATACCTCAAACTTATGCGGTGCTCTATGACAATTAGATCTCAATAAAATTAGGCAAAAGAGACCCCAAGACCAAGTCTTAACTACCAAATACGATTAGTATCTCAAATAACCATATGAAAGCCAGGGCCTCATCTTTGGGGCAGAAAGACTCCTTTTCCAAGAAGGTTATTGCATATTTCCACATTGTAATTATTTATCTGTCTATCAGTCGTTTCTTCATTCATTAACTCACCCAATGTTATTTGTGATGGGCCCTAGAGAGACAAAGTAACTTCAACAAGACTCCATCTCAAGGAGCTCACCCTGCAGTGGGAGGGAGGCAGGCATAAACAAACACCACAAAGTGAAAATCTCAAAGAAACTGGGAATCATTATTAAAATGGGGATGTGTTATCTTTTATATATTCTGTGTTTCCAATACAAGAAAAATGTAAAATATAAGTGCAGAGTCCCTTTATTAAAAGGGATTTATCTTAACCATGCTTAAATCATAAGACTTTGGACATGAGAACTAAGCTCAGATATCACCTCCTCCAAGAAAGCTTCCCTGATAGCACCCATGTCCCCTTTTGGCTTGAGTGTCCTTTCTATGTACTCTTACTGCACCATGTCCATTCCCCTGATACCATGTTTTGAATTTTTATTGTGTTGTCCTCTTACTGCCACTACCACCTCCATAAATACACAACTGGGTACCCCTTAAGGAGGAGGGGACACATCTTACTCTTTGCATTCGCAGCGCTAGAAACATACCTGGTATATGGCACTCGGTTAATGTTGAATAGCTCTGTGAGTGGGAAGATGATAATTACAGGTTTTTTCCCCATCTAATAAAAGTTGCCTTTTATTCCCCACATTATATTAAGTTTTAAAATATGTAACAAAGGGTATATATTCTTGTTTTTTGAAATGTAAATGTATTAAAATGTAAATATATTAAATGTAAATGTATTAAACATTTATTAATAGCATATTTAGATAAGGGCGCATACAAAAAATCTAGACGGACACACACCGAAATGCTGGTGGTGGTTATCTCTTAAGTGTTAATGTTTGAAATGATGCTCACTTTGTCTTTATGCATCACTTGTTGTTTAACTATTTTACTGTGGATGTGCTACTATTATGATAAGAAAATATGAAGTTATTTGTATTTTAAAAAGGAAAATTTGGCCCATTTCATAAGCCACAATCATAGGACATAAACAACTTTATGAAACATCATCTTTACCATCTAACGCAATGTTGACAGTGATTTGACTTCAGATTTAAACAACTGACCAAGCTTGGTGGCATTTAATGGAATTAAATGGGTTTCTATTTTCCTTACTCATGTCTGTGTTTATAATATTCAGAAGGTACTCAAGCACTTTATTTGCAGTTGTCTAAAACGTGCGAAATTATCTCTTTTGCTCGCTCTCTTTTGTTCCTTTCCTTTAATTCTCCCTGCTAATACTTGGATTGGGTGTTAGAACCCCAGTCTTTTTAAAGCCAGGCTTACCCTCTTGCAAATAGATAAGGCAGAACTAAGGAACCAATTAATTCTCTCTCTCTCTTTCTTTCTGTCTCTTTTTCATTATAAATCTCCTGTTTTTAGGGTGGCTCTGGGTAGAAGAAATATCAGTTTTCTGGTCCGTGATAGTGTTCTGCCGTGCATCTTCTGCCTGCCCATCTTTCAACATTTTGTCTGGCTGACCAGAACGTTGGAAAACCCTAGACAATGTTATTGGACTAACAGTTTATTTCTTTTTCCCAGAGGAACAATCACAGATTGTAAAATGTGCCTCTAAAGAACAGGTTTAAAAAACTATACATACTATATTCTTTTTTATCTGCAGCTGAATTCTTGCTGCCAAGATGGGGAAACAGAACAGCAAGCTGCGCCCAGAGGTCATGCAGGACTTGCTGGAAAGCACAGATTTTACAGAGCACGAGATCCAGGAATGGTATAAAGGCTTCTTGAGAGACTGCCCCAGTGGACATTTGTCAATGGAGGAGTTTAAGAAAATTTACGGGAACTTTTTCCCTTATGGGGATGCTTCCAAATTTGCAGAGCACGTCTTTCGCACCTTCGATGCCAATGGAGATGGGACAATAGACTTTAGAGAATTTATCATAGCCCTGAGCGTAACGTCAAGGGGGAAGCTGGAGCAAAAGCTGAAATGGGCCTTCAGCATGTATGACCTGGATGGAAATGGCTACATCAGCAAGGCAGAAATGCTCGAGATTGTGCAGGTACGTGGACCTTGCCCTTTACAAAGAGAAGAGTGTGAGTCACAGTAAGAACTGGGAAGTCCACAGTGCAGATTAGTGGAGAGATTGCAAACGGGTGGTCTGCCTGGGCACTGATTTGGCCTAGCCAGTGTCTTTGAAAATGTGGAACCCATATACAAAACAGGGAGGTTTACACATAAACATGCAGATTGGTTAGTATCTCTTGGAAACTCAGGAGCTCTGGCCACACTGGGCCCACATTCTTGCCTGGCATAGGTGCCCTGGGGCTTTGTGCTGACTCCTCCCTACAGAGGGACATGCACTCTTCAGCTGGTCATGCTCACTGTGGCCACTCCATCTATTCAGTGCAATGACCTGCCTGGACCTAGAGCCTGGAGTGATGTTTAATGGTCAAACTCTGACCTGGGTTCAAATCCTGCCTCTTTCAGTCACTACCTCTGTGACTTTAACCCAAGCGAGCCTCAGTGTCCTTGTCTGTAAAATGGGACTATCAGCAGTGCCCCCTGCTGTGGGATTGTTTTAAAATTAGACTGACTCTCCGTGTTCAATGCTTAGCACAGTGCCAGCCTTACAGAAAAGCTCATCATCACTGCCATCACTAATTTCCAACTTTATTAGACACTTGAATAAAAGTAGGGATCTCTAATCTAGCTTCTATCTCATCAGAGATACAAACAGTGCAGAATCAAGGCCTCCATCATTTTTATAGGAAGCACTCCATTTTATTTCCCCAAATCACTCACCCAGAGTAAATTTCCCAAACAGAGCAGGAAAAGGGGTCGTTTTTCCTTTCACCACCCCCTCTTCTTTGCAAGTCCACACTCAGGCCTTGTCACTGTCCCAAGAAGCTGTGTACCTTTGTGGGAATTCTCACCGTTTGGTTCTAGCTGGTCTGCACCAGGAGAATGCATATTTGCAGATGCTACAGTCGCTTCAGAGGCGGCGCTGTCTTTTAGGTGTCTGGGCAAATACCTGTTAGAAAGTGATGAGATGGAGGCAGGCTGTGGGCCGGCAGAATCATACACAAATTAAGGCTCTGTTTGTTAAAGCAAGTGAAACTTCAGCTTGATTACAAGTGTCAGCACATAAATTCCTTGCTGAACTTCTGTCCCTCCAAGACTCGGAAATTCAAGCCATTTAATGTAAAATGCAAATTCATGATGTTCACCTGCAAATACTAATAAGTGGTCAGGGTGAAGATCGAGGCTTGTCAGTGAATGGAGGGCGGAACTCCATAAATTCTCTAGTTTTTCTTCTTTATTGTTGCTTTCTGTGGTGTAATTTTGGTATCCACAGAATATTGGTGGTGGTAGCAGACCGGAATCCTTTTGTTTTTCCTGACATTGGTAGGAAGGATTCTATTGTGGACCCTGTAACACTGAAATACACGGTATTGGTTTCCTCTTGGAAACCAATTGGCTGCTGTAACAAAGGGCCATAAACTTAGTGGCTTAAAACAACACACATTTATTATCTTACAGTTCTGGAGGTCAGAGATCTGAAATCGGTTTCACTGGGCTAAAATCAAGGGGTCCGCAACTTGCGTTCTGTCTGGAGGTTTTAGAGGAAAATCTGTTTCCTTGCCCTTCCTACTTTTTGAAACATTCCTTAGCTTGTAGCCCTTTATATCCATCTTCAAAGCCAGCAACAGTGGATTGAGTTCTTCTCACGTTGCCATTCCCCTGGGTATCTCATTCTGCTTCTCCCTTCCACTCATAAAGACCCCTGTGAGTACACTAGGATACGCCAGATAATTCAGAATAATCCCCCCTAGCTCAAGATCCTTAACATAATTACATCTGCAAAGTCCCTTTTACTGTGTAAGGTAACATATTCACAGGTTTCAGGGATTAGGACATGCACATCTTGGGGGGGCCATTATTCAGTCTCCCACGTAGTCCAAACGCAGTTATGTTCCTTTTTCCAAAAAATAATTTTGTGCTATATCAACATCTGGGTGAAAAAGCAAAACCATATGCAGATTTATTTTTAGAGTCTTACACAAACATTTTCACATTCATGTGTTTGTTTTTTTAAAGTGACAAACTTAGGAACATGATTTAGGTCCAATATTTTATTATTGCATCAAAACCATCTCTCATGAGTCTTAAGCCAGATCACAATTCTGACGTTTCTCCCGTAACGGCAGATCCTCTCCTGGGGCGGGGAGGGCCCTAATCTCAGCCCCCCGCTGCAAGAGGAAGGAGAATCCTTCCTGCCCCACACAGTTCTCTGTCCCTGAGCCCAGCCAGAGGCAGGTCTGAGCACCCACACCCAGCCCAGCACAGGCTATGTTTCAGGAAGGGGGCAGCGAGCATGTGAGTAGCGTTGCGCATTGAACCACGAGTGCTCAGATGCTCTCTGGGATCTTGGGGGTGAGGGAACATGAACTTAGGGATCCATCAACAGGACCTCAGAGAGAGAATGCAGGAAGAACAGAGAGTGAAACTGACCCTTCTGTTCTCAGAAAGTAACTAGGACCCTTGAAAGAACACGTTTTAACTACAGGACTGTCATTGGGTAGGAGTACACAGTCTGTGTTGCTTTACTCTTATGATTGAGTGAAAATCACAGGCTTAGACAAAAATTGATCACCGGGATCCAAAACAAAGATGAAGAGGGAGTCAAGGGAAGAATTGGCACGTGAGAGCGGTTGTCTGAGCAAAGCAGGTCAATATCACCTTGCCCCTCCTTTTTCAATCTCCTTTTCCTTCTTTTCCTCGGGTGAGTTATTTAACCTTTCTGTGCACTGTTCTCATGATTTGTGAACTGGAACCAATCATAGCACCCGCCTCAAGAGTAACCGTAAGGGTTCAACAGTTATTACAAGTAGAGTACCTAGAACAGTGCCTCTCAATGGGTATCCTTCAGTAAATGTTGACTACTATTATTCTATAGACGTTTCTGGAGCTGAGACAGGACGTTTCCCTGCAAAATAAAGGGAGGTCATTTCCCATTCAAAGGACAAAGGAATAGAGGCTCCCATTAAGTTTTTTTTTCTTTTCATCTTTATTGGAGTATAATTGCTTTACAATGGTGTGTTAGTTTCTGCTTTATAACAAAGTGAATCAGTTATACATATACATATGTTCCCATATCTCTTCCCTCTTGCGTCTCCCTCCCTCCCACCCTCCCTATCCCACCCCTCTAGGTGGTCACAAAGCACCGAGCTGATCCCCTGTGCTATGCGGCTGCTTCCCACTAGCTGTCTGCCTTACGTTTGGTAGTGTATATATGTCCATGCCACTCTCTCACTTCGTCCCAGCTTACCCTTCCCCTCCCCATATCCTCAAGTCCATTCTCTAGTAAGTCTGTGTCTTTATTTCCATCTTACCCCTAGGTTCTTCATGACATTTTTTTTTTCTTAGATTCCATATATATGTGTTAGCATATGGTATTTGTCTTTCTCTTTCTGACTTACTTCACTCTGTATGACAGACTCTAGGTCCATCCACCTCACTACAAATAACACAATTTCATTTCTTTTTATGGCTGAGTAATATTCCATTGTATATATGTGCCACATCTTCTTTATCCATTCATCCGATGATGGACACTTAGGTTGCTTCCATCTCCTGACTATTGTAAATAGAGCTGCAATGAACATTTTGCTACATGATTCTTTTTGAATTATGGTTTTCTCAGGGTATATGCCCAGTAGTGGGATTGCTGGGTCATATGGTAGTTCTATTTGTAGTTTTTTAAGGAACCTCCATACTGTTCTCCAAGTGGCTGTACCAATTCCCATTCCCACCAATAGTGCAAGAGTGTTCCCTTTTCTCCACACCCTCTATCCAGCTATTAATGTTTCTAGATTTTTTGATGATGGCCATTCTGACCGGTGTGAGATGATATCTCATTGTAGTTTTCATTTGCATTTCTCTACTGATTAATGATGTTGAGCATTCTTTCATGTGTCTGTTGGCAAACTGTGTATCTTCTTTGGAGAAATGTCTGTTTAGGTCTTCTGCCCATTTTTGGATTGCATTGTTTGTTTTTTTGCTATTGAGCTGCATGAGCTGCTTGTAAATTTTGGAGATTAATCCTTTGTCAGTTGCTTCATTTGCAAATATTTTCTCCCATTCTGAAGGTTGTCTTTTGGTCTTGTTTATGGTTTCCTTTACTGTGCAAAAGCTTTTAAGTTTCATTAGGTCCCATTTGTTTATTTTCGTTTTTATTTCCATTTCTCTAGGAGGTGGGTCAAAAAGGATCTTGCTGTGATTTATGTCATAGAATGTTCTGCTTATGTTTTCCTCTAAGAGTTTGATGGTGTCTGGCCTTACATTTAGGTCTTTAATCCATTTTGAGTTTATTTTTGTGTATGGTTTTAGGGAGTGTTCTAATCTCATACTTTTACATGTACCTGTCCTGTTTTCCTAGCACCACTTATTGAAGAGGCTGTCCTTTCTCCACTGTACATTCCAGCCTCCTTTATCAAAGATAGGGTGACCATATGTGCATGGGTTTATCTCTGGGCTTTCTATCCTGTTCCATTGATCTATATTTCTGTTTTTGTGCCAGTACCATACTGTCTTGATTACTGTAGCTTTGTAGTATAGTCTGAAGTCAGGGAGCCTGATTCCTCCAGCTCCGTTTCTCGTTCTCAAGATTGCTTTGGCTGTTCGGGGTCTTTTGTGTTTTCATACAAATTGTGAAATTTTTGGTTCTAGTTCTGTGAAAAATGCCATTGGTAGTTTGATAGGGATTGCATTGAATCTGTAGATTGCTTTGGGTAGTAGAGTCATTTTCACAATGTTGATTCTTCCAATCCAAGAACATGGTAAATCTCTCCATCTATTTGTATCATCTTTAATTTCTTTCATCAGTGTCTTAATAATTTTCTGCATACAGGTCTTTTGTCTCCTTAGGTAGGTTTCTTCCTAGGTATTTTATTCTTTTTGTTGCAGTGGTAAATGGGAGTGTTTTCTTGATTTCACTTTCAGATTTTTCATCATTAGTGTATAGGAATGCCAGAGATTTCTGTGCGTTAATTTTGTATC